ACAATTAGAACAGCTTGTAACCACCAAGCTTAAATAGAGAAGAGCAGAAGAATTTAAAATACTCTAACAATTCAAAAAAGGAAAAAGGAACATAGAACAGGCCATCAAATAAAGAGCAGATACCAATATGTAGATTTAAACTCAAATATATTTTAGGAATTACATTTAAGAAGCAAATGAGTGCTCAGTCTGTGTAGCTACCTATTTATTTATGCTACTCACTCCAGAAAAGATTTTTAGGAGCATGAACATGTCAGTAGGTAGGTGACTGCCAGGCAGAAACAATAAAGGACATTTTTACTGCAGAAAAAACAGCACACATAAAGACAAAGAAGTTTGGAGTGGCATGGGGAACTGTTGAGTGTCTACAATTCAAGAAGCATCAGGAGAAACCACAGGAAGTGCACCTGGAGAGGCAGCTCAGGGCTGGCTGAGGGGAAAGTGGCCTCTGTACCTGTTAAGGAGTATGGAATTGACCCTCAAGGGAATGGAGCATACTTGATAGATTTCAAGCACATAATGACATGGACAGACTTGTATTTTAGAAAGTTCACTCTAGCAGCTATAGAGACAATCAGAATTTGGAAGCAGATGTATAAGAAAGACTGAAGATAGATAGGCGATTAGCTAGGGGACTGGCATAAAAGATGACAAGATCCTGAACACACACAGTGATTTTAAGGGTGGACAACAGAGTACAAAACACACATGGAGACTGAATGAATGTTGTGGCACATAATTGGTTAACTGGATCATGAAGAAAAACAGTTGCCATTTAAGTAATTCACATTACTACTGGAGGCAGAGACGTGCTCTTTTTTTAAAAGTAATGAAATGAGGAATGTCTCTCTGAAACAGGACAGGCATTTAGAGCTGGCCTGAGCAAAATCTGGAAAATCTAAACAGCTGCTTGGTGAGCAAAGAATTAGAGAAAAAGTTAATGGTATAGTTTTAATGTTTAATGGCATACGGCAGTAGCAGACTAAGCATTTTAAAAGGTTAAATTTGCTTAGCAAGTGAGGTCTTCTCACACACTGCCATATACACCGTAGAGTAAAATATAAGAGCAAACACAAATAGTATCTGCCACAGACAATCTATTTTTAGAGAATTCAGATGTTTTTGTGGAGAAAAAACTTGAATTATAAAAATATAGTTTTCAAAAGATACCTAGCTCAAAATTTGAGATGTGTATTTCAGAAGATTAGTATCTAAATATATACACCAAATAGTTCTATATTCAAAACTCCTCATCTTTGCCAAAATTACATTTAGTCTGAATATTTGACTCTGTGAAGTCCAAAACTTAATGTACTTTAATAAGTAAAATTTCCTTTTTTCAAGTGTTTATTCTACTAAAACACGTCATACAAATCACTCAGACTTTTTAAGGGAAATTATATAATTGACCACAAAGAAAGGAAAGTGAAATAAGCGGTGGAGCCACAGAAAAGGCATGGACAGATCTTCAAAAGAGAAGCACTTTCACAGCAGTAACTGTCAGTACCAGTCAACTGCTCCCCCTTACATGAATTACAGGCAACAGTTTCTGAAAACTGGTTAGAAAGGAAAGAAAAATGCAGGTTATGAGAAACAAAGCAGATAGGAAGACAGACAAATTTCTACTAATTAGAGATGGAAAAAAGTATAAGTAATCCTAAAAAAGATAACATTGTTTATATTAGTACACTTTTATTTAGACACATGACAGTGAACAGTAAATGATGAAAATCTTACTTTTGCAAAGCCATCTCCTTCTGCTGATACAGTTCATTCAGAATCTCCACTTTCTGCCTCAGGGTTCTGAACTCATCTTCCAGTCCATCTTTGGCAGATAGCAGTGAGTTGCGGTCATCTTCCAATTTCTTTATCTGGTCTGTAAGGGATAAAATATTTGAGCCCTATGTGTGTGCACAAGAACTTGAGAACTTGGTTGGGGGTTTGGTGCTGAGAGGAGTGAGAAGTATGAAAGCAGGAAACCACTCTTTATCTATCTAATGCAATTTTGCATCGTTCCAATACATAGCAATTTCTTCTCAAGAAGCAACCTACCTTCCAGGTTACATTTAGTGGACATGGAGGCTCTTAGCTTAAGCTGTAATCGTTTTAGATCCTCTTCAACTACCGATATTGCAGTCTGTGTCTAAAAATTACAGAA